CTCTGCTGTCCCCATCCTGAAATCTGAACAGGGTCCCACATTTTCATTTGGCAATGGGCGCTGCAAACTCTGTAGCCAGTCTTTGTCCGCACCTGCCAATTTATAGGAAGTAAAAGTGTGGTGAGTTAAAAAGACATCTATAAATTACTTGACACTCCTCCCTTCAAAAAGGGGGAGCCCAATTTCCCTCTCCTGGAATATAGGCTGTATTTTGGGATTCGTTTCTAATAGAATGTGTTGGAAATGATGGCGTGTGACTTCCAAGAATACATCATAAAAGGCACTGTGGTACTCGCCTTGCTCAGGGGAAAGCCAGCTGTGTGAGGGAGACTCATGCAGCTGTATGGAGAGGTCCACGTGGTGAGAAACTGAGGCCTCCAGCCAACAGCCACGTGGGTGAGCCGTCTGGGAGCGAATCCTTCAGCCCCAATCAAGCTTTCAGCCCACAGCAGTCCCAGCTCACAGTCTGAATGCAACCTCACGACAGATCCTAAGCCAGAACCACTCATCAAACCACTAATGAATTCCTGACCCACTGTGTGCGGTAAAGTTAATTATTGTTTTTAAGCTGCTAAGTTTTGAGGCGATTTATTATTCAGGGATATACAACTAATGAAAGAAAAAACAGGCAACATGTTAAATGACAACGTGGAGATACAAAGAGCAAAATCCAGACTGTGGGAAACTCGACAGGAAAATAGCCTAGTATCTTCAACCGAACAATTCAAAGAAAAAAAAATCACATTGTGTGGTAGTTTTGACCTGGATTTAAGCAAACCATTTAAAACGTTACAGGACAATTAAAAACATGTAAATACTGACTGCATTGTTGATATGCAATATTGATATTAAGAAATTATTGATTTTTTAAGAAAAATGTAATGATGGTAGTATAGTGACGTTTTTTAAAAGTAATCCTTGACTTCTAGATATACACTCCAAAATATTTACAGACGGTATGTCTGGAATCTGCTTCAAAATGGCTACAGGACGGAAAAAATTTAGGGGGGGAGAGATAGGAAATAAGTTGGGTGATGGATACATGAAAGTTCACTATACGATTCTGTTTTTTCCATAATAAAAAGATAAAAAAGAGTTAAGTATGCATTTATATCAATATACATAAACAAACATCACACTACGACATTTAAAAGTGGGCTTAATAGCACCAAATAATTACAAGCAAGATGAAAACCATAAGAACTTAAATGTTTTATTATTTAAAACAAAGTAATTTTTTTAAGTGTCAAAACCAAACTCCAGACTATACCACTACTAACTAATGTACCTATTTATGGAACCACTCTGGTTTGGCATTGTTACCTTCCACACAGATCACCTGATCCAACATTCTGTAATAACCTCACACTGTTATACCGTTTTAATTGTATCATTCAAACCGTAGTCACGTTTAGTCAGCAGAACGTTCTTCACCTATTCCATCATGCTAAAAAAAGTGTGAATTAGCACCTTATAATGACTCATGCAGACTTTTATCATACACATAGGAGGGCAGTGAAAAGCTTATGCTGACCACTGGATGGTGAGAGACGCAAGCAGATGCTACTCACAAGTCCCAGTGCGCCAAGGACAATTACCGCCTGTCCCTCTTTACCGTTAGTGCTGCGCATGAGAAAGAAGGCAAGAGACAGAAAAACCACGCGGACGCTCACCTTTACTGCCACACAAGCATTTTAAATCCCTGCATTTAAAATACGTACCAGACATAGCTGTAACAGTTATGCAAAGGACGTGCAATTGCAGGACTATCCTGGGCTGAGGCCAGACGACTAGCGCAGGTGCACAAAGGTATCACCTCCATTCTCTTTTCTTTACAAACTTGCTTTATGCAGATTTTTAAGGGGGGGGGGAAATCAACCCAGAACTGCCTCATTACTTGTCACTCTTACCAGTTCAGAATTTGTGCTACCCCGTGGCTTGACCTTGGCTACAGGTATCACTAACAGGATAAAGAAAAGGCTTCATCGGCCCTGGCCGGTGTGGCTCTGAAGGGTTAGCCGTTCAATTCTTGGTCAGGGCACAAGCCCTGGTTGCACTCGATCCCCGGTACAGGGTGTGCAAGAGGCAGCCAACTGATGTTTCGCTCTCATATCGATGTTTCCGTCTCCCTCTTGCTCTAAAATTCAATTTAAAAAATTTTTTTTAAATAATTGAAAAAAGAAAAGGCTTCATCAGACTACAAAATTGTAAAGGTGGTTTGATTTTAACTAAGACAGAAAATACACTCCTCAAACTTGTGTACAGAATTTTTTTTAAACCAGAGATATTAAGAAAATATTCCAACATATAAGTTAACATCAACAGTGGGTGGATATTATTATCACTCCATCTCCCTTCCTCCTTTTTCTCCTCTTGAGTTTTAAAATATATTTTCTTTTCAAAAGAAACACTTAAAATGTGCTATTATTCTTACTGCTATAGGAAAAATTTTTAAAGATTTTTACTAGCGTGGGGGCAGGTTAATAAGTGTCCTTTCTTTAAAATTTAAATGTTTTATTCACTAAAGCAACCGCAGAAGATATGTACTTAAAATCTGTGCCCAAAGTGTATGTTTCCATAAAAAATATAATTGTTACTGGCCTCCCCTCAGCATAAATTATGGACATGCTGTTACAAACAAGGCTATATGTTTTTCTATCAGTATGTGACAAAAATACCAAGCATAAGCTGTTCCCTGTCGCATTAAAACCACAGGTGCTGACTGACTCCAAAACAAAACAAAACAAAACAAAAACCAGTTGACTTACTGCAAGGTATTGTTTTAATAAACACCTGTCATTTAGTAACAACAATCAATACAGTTGACGATAAACAGACTAATTTACCTCAAAGAGAAAAACAAACAATCAAAGAGCAAAACACGAAATCTCACACGCGCATATATTAAATTTCCCTCAAATGTTTTGTTAAAAAATGAAAAAGAACAGAAAGTGTGTTTCAAAAACTACCATGATTTTTAAAAGCATGATAGTTTTAAAATCATTTTTTAAATTTAATCACTTAAAAAATCATATTTGTGAAACTCTAAGCTCTCAAGCATGGGCCATACTTCCCTGAGTCATAGAACACTCAGGGCCCCGTTAGCGCCACAGAATACAGCACTCCCCCGGGGCAGGCCCCCCAACATTAGCTACCTTCCAGTCACTAACCCAGGTCGGACAGAGCCCTGAGTGCTGCAATCCCTTCGTCTGGGCTCTCCTCTATACACCAGTCTTTTTCCTTTTGTTTGTTTTATTAAAAATATATCTTTACTGATTTCAGAGAGGAAGGGAGAGAGATAGAAACATCAATGATGAGTCATTGATCGGCTGCCTCCTGCAGGCCCCCGACTGGGATGGAGCCCGAAACCCAGGCACATGCCCTGACCGGGAATCGAACCCCGATCTCCTGGATCCTAGGTCGATGCTCAACCGCTGAGCCGCGCCCGGCCGAGCTACACGTTAGTCTTGATACCTCAGTTATGTGTAACTGGCTACTTGAGTAAGAGGTGGGAAGAGGCAAGTGCTCTAGGTACAGGAAACGGGGGAATTCACAGTACTGAAGGTGCTATTATGATGCTCCCAGCTCACAGGAGAAGCTTAGAGATCCCTTTGGCTTAGAAATTCTCTTTAAATTGAGTATTTTAATGAAGCCAGTGGGCTGAGCTTCCATCTGCTTTATATAGATGACCTTGTGAAATTAGAAGACAGTGTACAGTCTTCCTGGTCATTCCCCCAAACTGTTAGATCTAAAAACAATGATCATGAAACTGAAAATGGCCACATTATTAGCAACTTTACCAGCCCTGTAACCACTTTCACCATTTCAGGTCTTTCCAAAATAGACTCGAGGCACCTGCTGGTGATGTAACTGTACCAAGAGTCAGTTCCTCTTCAAATGTACTCATTCCTATGATTGATTAAGAAATATAATGAAGGAAATACACCTCTGAGAATACAGAATACAACCAAAGTGAAAGGCAAACTTCTAGAGGAAATTTTCCAACTTCTTTGTTTATTCCATGCTGATGGAACCACCGAGCCCACTGTCCCAGAGATGACATACGGTTACTTATACTCTTATTACAGTTTTCACTTGTCAGCTTTTGAGGCCCAACAAAATTACAGAATTTTAGGGAGTAATCAATAAAAAATACTCCTGTCTTCAAACTGTACCTGACACAATACTTAAAGATCCATAAACATCACAATTTTCACACAGATTTACAGCTGGACTTAGGTGGGAAGAACAGACTTAAAGTTAGAGAAATCAACTGGTTATGTGATATAAACGTGACACTTAGGCTGCCTATCAAGGGTTATCTGTCATAGGTGATCATGGGACACAGGAGTGTAAATGATCTCTGGGAAGCTGGGCCACCAGGAAGCTGCATTTCAACACTTGTTACCTGTGAAAGGGAGAGGAAAATTTAAAGAAGTGTTCAGGTTACCACTCTTACATCAAATGATGACAGAAAGATACCCCGTAACAGGAAGGATCAGCAGGAAATATAATTAAAGGGTAACATCGGATCAAGGAAGGGTGAACCCTTGGCAACTGTCATTACAGCTGGTCTGTGTCCTGCGCTGGTAATGTGTACCACCATTAGAGACCTACTGTACGGGTTTCTTCGTTAGGCTCACTGTGTTAAAGAGCATTAAAGAAGCACTGTGCATGTAGGGCAGAGCCTAAGGGTCTCACTAATTAGATGTACCATTTTCATCAGAAACTGTAACTCTAACTCACCATTAGATACTCTCAGATTTCTCACTGACTCCTTCCTATAGATTGTAAAACTCATAAATATTTTATTATAAAATTGTCTGAAAGACACCTGGACAGCATGGCTCAGTGGTTGAGCATCGATTTATGAACCAGGAGGTCACGGTTCAGTTCCTGGTCAGGGCACATGCCCGGGTTGTGGGCTCGATCCCCAGTTGGGGGCGTGCAGGAGGCAGCTGATCAATGACTCTCTCTCATCCGTGATGTTTCTATCTCTCTCTCCTCCCCCTTCCTCTCTCTGAAATCAATAAATAAAATATTTTTTTTAATTGTCTGAAAGATATATTATACACAGTAAGTAAAATCATTTGTTTTAATATCAAGGGCTTTTAAATGTCTCTGAAATATTAATTTTCAGGTTTTTAAGGATCAGAGCTCGATGATAAGTTATGGATAGTTGAACTTTTATTACATATATGAACATGAACAAAAACACATGAAAAGACTCACCCTCAAATGTAAACATTTTATGTACATTTCACCCTAAGAAAAAACTGATCATGCTAAAAATCAGACACTTAGGATTTGGAAAAATAAAGATTAGACATTTAAAAAATATTACATAGTACATACATTCTTGGAATTTTATTAAATTAAGTACCAGAATTTCCACCTGGTTTTCCATATCCACCCTAAGTCTGCCCAAATACCCACATTCAAACTCTGTCTCCATGCCATAGGCAGCAGCTATAGCTGTCCTCTGCGCCGAGTTCAGTCTGGACATTAACAAAGGCTCCACCATTTGGTCGGCCTTCGTTGCTGCTTTTATCACAGAGCAAAGGACAATCAGAGATAAACCTGCTGACCCATCCCACAGGGTCCCCTTAGGACACAAGACTTGCCCTCCCTTGGACCCCATCTAGTTGTCTATCACAGTGGTAATGCTTTCATAATCTCTCTCCAGGTTGGTCCCCAGAGCCTCCTCTCGTAGCTCACGCGACCCACCGTTTAGTCCCCTCCGACTCTAAGATTCAGACGGCGCAGCTGTAAAATCAATGAGGCGGCGGGTGTCTCATTAACCTAGGACTCTGAGGTCTGAATTTCATGGACTATTTGATAACCTATCTAGATAATAAAAAAGAGAAACACTATAATATTAACAGAATTGGGAATCATCGCTTCACAGGATCAAAGCTGCCCTCTGATCTGGAGGCTGAATGGAGCTTGAATGTCTGATGTGATACTAAGTGACACAGGAATACATACCTTTCTGCTCCTCCCAGTCTCCTGATTAGTATCCTAAATATGACAAAAAGCTCATTTATCCCAATACCAACCTAATTTTCTTTTTCAACTGAGGTTAGATCTGTTCTTGCCTTTGCAGAAATAGAGTATTTTTTAGCCAAACAGAGTATCAACTGAAAAAGAAAAAACAAAAATAAAACACAACAGCAGCAAGATGATTCATTTTCTATATTCTTTTTTTTTTTTTAAATCTTCTCCTGAGTTTACCCGTGAGGTGTCAGTATCAATTCTTCTTAAAAGTGACTGAATTAAGAGATAAGAATATAATTCTTTAATAAACATGAGATATTCAACCCCAAATAAAATAAAAACAACAGATTCAACCCCCCTGTGTATACACTTCCAGTGAAGTCTTGTGTCTTCCGTTCTGAGCTTGTAGCCCTAAGCACGGAATCACGAGTGGCAATGTGCCACATTGAGCACTAGCAGCAGCACCGCAGTTCTTTAACAGAGTAAAGCAAAAATGGTTAGGTAATGAGTGTCACAACAAAATGTGCTGGTGCTAAATCGAAAGTAATATAAGTGGCATTTACAATATATTTTACAGGAAGCCCCCAGTGGCATTAAACTAATGCACCCTCCAAAACACCTAACCAATTACTCCAACAAAAATCATCTTTTGTGACTGTAAAACCATGAAGACTTTGTACTCCATGGCCCTTAGACTTGGTGGTTTTCAGAGTTAAGACATGATCTGTGTTAAGTAGTTTCGCTGATTTCTCCATCTTGAATAACGGCCAGTTCAGGAACTTCATTCATCCTCAGAACCTCTGCATAGAGCAAGTAATTATGTAGGCTCCTGGGAAGTGGCAGCTGACACAGGTGTTCTGGTTTTAGACTGGACCGAATTTCCAGGCGACAAAGGTGGGTCAGGGATGGAACAGCAGCTGGAGAAACAAACCAAACAGGGAAGGTGAGAAATTTTTAAACATTAAGGTAAAGGCCTTTCCCCGCCCCCCAACTCCCTATAGTAAAGGGAAGTGATATATTACTTGGACTTACTGTTAAAAGGTTACTTGGACCAGGATGACCATAATAAACTTTGTTTTACAGCCTTTACCTGGCTCCTCTCCCTCCGGTTGCTGGCCACACATTCAAAGTCAATATCCATATAAAATTAAATGTTCAAATTCTAAAGATCTGGCAATACCAGTTGGCACTTAAGAAATGGATGAATTGACCTTAGAAATGACAGCTCATAGCAGCAAATGTTACATCCCTCTTTACTGTTTCTTTACAAATGCTCTCCAGATCTACCGCATTAGGTGAATAAATGTGTAGCTTACAAAAGTTTTCTTCTTACCCGTGACGTAGGATGAAATTTCAAAATTGAAACAAAGAGAAAAGTGCGTACCATCTACACTTACACACATCCTCTTTTCAGCTCCATTACCCTATGAGTTACATATTTCCATGCTCTTAGAAAGAAAACAAAGGCTTAAAAAGAGGTTTAAGTAACTTCTCAAAGGTCATACATCTAGTACGTGGTAGACCTAGGACTCAAACTCAAGTGCATCTGACCCCAAAGCGTGCGTGTAAATGTACACACACTAAGCCACGGCTGCCAAAGGCTAATCACCAATTAAAGGAGAATCATGCGATAGTAGTTTCATTTTCCATGATGGAAAGTGTTAACTAAAGAAGTTAATGTCCATGGAAACTGAGAGTACTAAAAATAGTTAGTGGTTTTATGTGAATCAAATGTAATGCCTTTTATTAACCCAAGAAATCTTATGTAAATCTCCATGAACTGTAACAATGATTAACAGACCAGGATCACGGCAACAAAGATAAATATTATCAAGAGACCAGCTGATACCAGACCAGATGGTCTGACTTCAAGTCAAAGGTTTCTTAAACTGTAATTCCCCATAGGGCCCGGGACATACTAATTCTCTAACATATTCAACATCTTAATCACCGAAGTTAATCCATCTTCTTACAATTTAGTTTAAACTTATTGGTTTGAGTTTAGTTTAGTTTATTCAGAGTCTGGGAAACTCCTCCAACCACAGTGTTTCAAAATGCCAAATAAGAAAAGCAAAAGAATTATCTGATTTTGTACATAAAACCTGAGCCTAAGAAAAGATGAGTATTTTCTTAAACCATAAGTCATAGACTCCCCATTATAAATAAGACTACAGCATCGATAATATGTAGCACATTTATTTCCAGTGTTTTCATGTCCATATCTCATTTAAATGTTACCCTGTTCTGTAAACTCAAAGGGAGAATCATCATTCTCACTTCTAAGATGGGAAAACACAGGTAAAAGGAGCATTGGAGGGATTAGTAGGCATACATACAGAGAACTGCAACCCCCAAGTTTCCCAAAGGAATGAGCAGATTCAACTTCAACAAGTCAGCTGACTATGTTCCACTATTACACATACTGAAGCCTTCTTACCCACTGAGAGCAGGAACAATAATTGGTCATTTGTCATTGGGTATGCACAAATGTAATAAAAATTTTGGAATGAGCATAACTGATTCTTGGTAAGCACACAACTCAACTGGTAGGGAAAGAGGTATGTTGGCATACTAGAGAGTGGTCTATCAGCTGCAAACACTGAGCATGCCATGGGCATAGCTGGGTGAGACTGACAGAGGAATTCGTTAGGAGAATTTTCACTTATATTCAGTTAGAGTTTAATGTGCATCTTGTTAAACTGACATCTCTTCATTCTGCACATTCTCATTAATATAGATCCCTAATACACACCCAGAATAAAAATAAAGGATGGCTGTGCAGCACAGAGAAGAGCTGCTCACTCAGAGATAAGGGACCTTTAATTCTTTTCCAGCTCCTCCAATCTGAGACTATGCTCACTTACAAACGGCTCGGGTTGACTGAGGAGAGCACCTCTGGCTGCCCTGCAACTTTCTGCAGTGCTCACGAGCCTCTCCAGGTCATCCGACCACACCACTATAGCCCCATCTCTAAAGCTAAATAAGCCACTTGCTTGTTTATGCTGATACATGTGTGGAAGCTTAATCGTTTTCAATCAAGCCAAACTGAACCAGTACGCATTTGTTACGGACAGCTTACGTGACCAGCACATGTTGACACTGTCAATCAACAACATACCCAATACCAGAGCCAAGTGATTTGACTTCAAGTCTGAGATTCTTTAAACTGTGATAAACCCAAAATAATTCTCTAACATCTTCTAAACCACTGAAACTTTCAGAAGATATTTTCACTTAATAATAAAAAGGAAAGAGTATAGTTCTTTCAGATACTGGCTCCAACTTTAATTGCACCCATTTGATCCTGCCCCTGCCCCACCATGAGCACAATGGATCACTGGCTGGCTGAAGAATTAGAGGTAAGAGCCATATTCATCTGAGCTGAAGAATGAAGAAGTCTTTCATCTGCAGATTATTAACACAGGTAATAATATACCCATCAGTGCCATCTTAGTGAGCAAGGAGATTTTAGAATCATCTATGCAGTATTTCAAACTGCACAGAATTCCTATGAGAGTTTCAGCGATGCACAGCATTTCCAGATGTGCTGCCACAGGGCTGAGAAGATCGAGCCATGCCCTGAATTTAGAGTATAAAAAAGCCCAGGTGTAGGTAAAACGCACTTTCACAAAAACCTGTTAAAACCAGAGTTCAATTTGTTAAATAAATCTCTGTTCTTGGATTGTGGCACTGGTCATAGCTTAGAATTTGATGTCTGAAACCATGCTAGACCTTAAGGTACTTTTCTGACCCACTATCATTTTCAATTTAGTATGCTAAACCTGGCTTATCTATGGATCTATTAGCAGACAGGCAACCTTTAGCATCTCATTCTTAGACAGAATTATCCAATTGTGTTAGTTTTTGTCTGTAATGACAGGACAATTCAAATAGGATCCTTGTTATAAGAAGTATAATATCTGTTTTCAAAATCATTTCCCCATAGCAGTTTCTTTCAGAAATCAGTTAAAATGTCATCCTTACCTTAAATTAACAAAATTCTTAAAAGATATTTACCAAATTTCATGCTACTGATGGCTATTTATCACCAAGGGGGACAAAAAAAAGGTTAACAAAACTGGAATAATTGTATTTCACAAAAGAACATGCTTCATCTTTAAGTTTAAGGGCTCTGTTATCTATTGTGTGACAAGATAATTAGCAAGCCTCTGTACATGTAATAATCATGGACACCCCATCTCAATGCAAAGCACTACAAGATTCTAATATACTTTTAAAGATCATGTTTTTATAAAACTATCCACATTATTACTTCATGCAATTCTGGTTTTAACTCCTCAGGTTTCCCGTATTAGCCTATTAAAAATGCAATAAACTCATTTAATGTATGATATTATTTCTATTTCCTTACATTTACTGAAATGTAAGTCATTCTTACAGAGCTTTTCCAAAAAACGTATTTTCTATAAAGTCATTAATACTGCAAATATATCCTTTCTGATACATATTTCTTTTAGTGGCCCTCAGAAAAGTTAACTATTTTCTTACTGAAACAGAATCTTAGCAAATACCCTAACCTGAGACATGTTATAAATAATATATATCATCTTCCAAATTAGTATCATACTTCCTACCCACAGGGTTATTTTTTTACTGTTTTCTTTAACTCTTTAGCAAAGCTTTTCATGCTTCTTTCAACAATATTTGCTAATGAGAAATGTGTTTCACATTGTCCTCATATTATTTCAGCCACATGTAGTTAGCTTTGTGTACAGTACTTACCACTATCTTGAAGAGTACATGAGAAAGGAGCACTGCTCAAAACTAGGAGCACTGCTCAAAGCTTCAAAGGAACTGGTGGTTTAAGCTGTGGATACTTGCCCAGCCCACCAAAGTTAAGAAATCCTCATAATGTTCCTTGGGTGTCACAACAGAATACTTAGCCTGAGACAGATAAACCTTTGTTTTTTGTTTTTCTTTTACTTCTACTTTAAAGATCAACTATCTCTTAAAAATGTTCTCAATTCAGTCTGCAACACAAAATAACTGTACTCTTAGGTAGTATAATCCTGTACTCACTGCTAACTACTATTGTTAAAAATTGAATTGAGAGATACAATATTTAGAAAGAACTGCTCAAAGTGCCCACAAGTTGTCCATTCCTCCAGATGGTATAAGTCTAGCCCTGGTCAAGTTAGAGCAACAGAGACCTGAGCACCTGGACCACACTGTACTGACCACTGAAGAACTGTTTTTACTGAATTATGCTTTGGTATAATAGCAACACTCCACCTGCACTGAAGATTGGTGAAATAAAATCCCAAGAACCACGGCTATTACCAACATATTGTCTAGGAATCTGTTCAATACAATATCCAAGAATATCTTTACTTCTGAGCAACAAGTTTGTTTTATCTTCTGAACTCTGTAACCTACCATCAATGACTAGAGAGCTCAGTCAGAGCCAAACTTATAGCCTAACAAGGGTCAGATTACCATGACATGCTTTCCCTGACCCCACTTTATATCCAGCCCTACCTTTAGTTTTCATTTTTCTTTTGCTTCCACTTTTAACTTGTTTTACTGTTTTATGATAATCTACATTATAAACTGTTTTAAACACTTTTTAGAACAAAGCAGAGGAACGCTGAAATAAATAGATCAAGAGTTTCCTGGGGCATTTTTAGGATCCTTTGTAGAATCCAGAGCCATATAACACTCTTGATAGAATTGTACATATTTTATCATTAAAGGTTCGGGGTGAACTAAATAAAGCCAAGTGCTTTTATCCATAAGAATTTAAATACTTAGATTTGATCTTGGAGAGCTGGCCAGGGATTGGTGAATTTTTTTTTATTAAGTCAACTGCTATGTGGTAGTTAAACTGATGTTTTTAAGAGGTTTATATAAGGTATATGATCAAAAATTATTACTAAATATGCTGTACACCTGAAACTATTCTAAAGTGATCTGAATGTCAACTGAATTGAAAAAATTTTAAAAATCGTTATTGAAGCTACAACAGTCAGTAAATTTTACTGGGTACACATTTCCTTTCTGATCAAGAAAAGTTTCTGAAGACAAATCTGGTTACTTCCAGCCTCACTAAAATATTCAAGAGAGAATACAAAAACACACACACCCTGAAAAGGAAAATTAAGTTCACCATATTCTAAAATCTAGCACTGAAATGCTCTTATCATCAGCAGAAGAAGAGCCAATGAAGAACACCCTGAAACACCAATATAACAAGGAGGAAATCACAACTTCTCCTATGTAGTCTGCAACCACAATGGTTAAAAAATCTCCCAGGACAGGAATAAAAGACCTCAGAAGTGGACAACATGGGAGTCGGTGTGGATCAGGGTGTCTCAACCTCAGCACTAGTGGCATTTGGGGCCAGATAATTCTGTTGTAAGGGGCTGTTTAGCAGCACGTCTGGCCTCTATCCTCCAGATGGCAATAGCACCCCTTCCAGTTGTGACAACCACAAAATGTTTGCACACATTGCCAAATACCCCTTGGCAGGGAGGGGGACAAAGTCATCCCGGTTGAACACCAAGGCTGCCAGCAACAGCTCACTTTCTTAGTAAACAGCACTCTCAAACAATCTCACCTCGGAACCAGAAAACGGAGGAACAGCAGGGCTCATAGGAAAAATTACAAGTTCAAATTTTAGATATATCAAAATGTGGGATATACCAAGTGGAAATATCCAAAAGGCAGTTGGATCTATGGAACTGGAACCAAGAAGGGAGGTCTTGGTTAGAGAAACAGACCAGAAAAGCACTAGCTGCATTAATACCCTCTGAGAAAAGCTTTTGCAACTCTTCAGCCAAAATAATGTCCTCTTAAGAGATAATGACTATTGCCTTACACAAGCTCTACCTAGTGCCTAATTAAACAAGAAGCCCTTGATGGATCCAGTCTGTTGCAGGGCAATGTACTCATACACAATTTTTACCTTAATCTGGACAAACCTGCCGTAGGTCAAAGTCTTCAGAGTAAACTCTCGCATATCTTTACTGATACGCTGCAATAATTTCCCCATTTGGCATATGCTCCCCTCTTTTGACTTTTTGTTCCCAAGTCCATTGCCCTATTCTATCTGTTCTGAATAGATAACTGCTCTCTGCTGCTGAAGATACATAATTAGTAAAAGCAGGCGTAATTCTCAACATTAAGAATCGCAGGCAAGTGAGTTTTCCAACATTACCATTAAAAAAATTCTGTGCTAGAAGGCTCAGATTCCAGGTTACTTTGTCTTCAACAGAAACCTCTCTAACAGTGTGAATACACCTTAGTTCAAGAGCATATTTTCCGAAATGTCTGTTTCTGATTGAGAAAATTTACTTAAATGTAGTTTTCCAAGAAATAAGACATTTCTACATATGCATAAGTTCACCTGTTAAAAGCCTATTCAACATGTTTTATGCAGAGTTACATTTAATGTAAAAATAGCAGTGAAGAAATAATTTTCTTAAGACACATGATCTGGTTAACAAAATGTAGTTAAAGTAAAATAAATCTGAATAACAAAAAAGGAATGCTTTGCATATATTATGTTTAGCTTAATCTCGTTTCCTTGTGGTAAAATCTTCTACTCTTTAATTTTTAATTAGCTTAAAACCTTTTTTTTTAAAGAACAGTTTATTGACTGTTAGAGAAGAAAGGAGAAGAGAGAAACATCACTGTGAGAGAGTAACATGGACTGGCTGCCTCCCGAATGCCCCCTACCGGGGATTGAGCCCGAATCCCCAGCATGTGGCGGTGACCAGGAATCAAACCAGCAACCTCCTGGTGCACAGGACAATGCTCAACTAACTGAGCCACACAGGCCAGGGCTTCAAAACTTTTTAATAAGTGAGAGTAAGTTGAGAATTTCTTTTAAAAGTCATATAAAATATCAATTCACAGAATTTTCACCAAGCTCAGCTCCATAGTTATATTATACCAACACATCAGCATACATTCAGTAGAAATAAAGGATGGTAATATTTCCGTTTAGAAGTAATAAAATATTTAAGAAAGAACACAAAAACAAACACACCCTGAAAAGGAAAATTAAGTGTAGCATTTTTCTGACAAACTAAATATTCACTAACAAGATTTTTAGGACCCACTTTTGTTTATAAAACCCTTACTAAAAATAAAAGAATATCATTAAATAAAAATATCAGTAAATACTTCCTTTTCTTTTTTTTTATTAAATTTATTGGGGTAGCAATGGTTAATATGAACATATAGGTTTCAGATGAGGGTTTCTATGTTACATGATCTGTACATTTTCCTTTTCATTATATGCTCCTTAGGCTAAACATATAAAATCAGATATGATTTTTGGTGACAAAAATTACTATGATCCTCCCTCACAGTCCCATCCTTTCTCCACACAGAGAAAATGCAAATGATGCCATTTTAATATGTTCCCCAACAACTCTTATTACTTAACATTACAACATAGCTAGAAAAGGAAAAGAAGAAAACGTAGTCAAGTGTGTTTAAAAATTGTACTTTCTTACCAATATGTTGCTGTAGAGCCCAAGAGGAGTTTGAGGCACGAGCAGAAAGCATCTTTTCAACAGCTGGAGGAAGTCTCCTCCAATTAGTAAACTCTAAAGTGAAGATCAGGGCGTCATCGCTGACTGCATCAATCCTGTATTAGCAAGATGTTAACACACATTAGGCACAAAACACATCAAGAATTCATCCTGAAAACAAACATCACATACCTATTCTTACAACACCCTAACATGAAAGGCAGACAGAAAACGGGCATAGAAAATATTCAGGTAACTAGAGGTAAGTTCAGTGGATACGAATAATCGCCTGCAGGTTCCTACAGGAAACTGAATTGACTCTGTACAGTTGTCCAATAGATGACAAGAGAATCTCTGCTCCTGTAGAGGGTAGGAACATTCCTTCCTGTTCCCCAGCAGCAGTGTCAAGAAAAGGGGGATTTGCCATTATCTCTTCCCAACTGGACCATCCTGCTTAACAGTCCTGAAAGGATAAAGCCCGAACACCCAAATCCATCCCTAAACTAAGCGTACAGGAGAGGTGGCTTGTTTCTGCCCCATTCCCAGGGAGGTACAACTGTTCTCTAAGAACCTTCTGCATTACAGATCCAGCTCTAAGGATGTAGCAGAATCAGTTTCGCCTCTAAGAGCTGAAAGTGTCCAAGACAAATAGTTCTCCCTCTATTTTTACAAAATAATTGCACATTTCCTACCAACCTACCCAAGAGACTTTCCCAAATTTTACAATCATTTGAATCCTAACAGAAGAGCACTGGTCTAGGAAAGTTTCTGGTTTCTAACACTACCTCCACTACTTACAAGTAAGTTGCTGAAATTCTTTAAGCCCTGGATCCTAGTCCTCTAAGACAACAATAATACTTAACCTATTTCAGGGGACAATCGTGAAAATAATATGACAAAATATAGTAAACATACTTTTAAAATTATAAAATGTTATATAATTGTTTGATATTACTAGAACTGGTTTGAAATTTTCAGTAGGCCTGATAACATGGAATGCAGTCAAAGCTTAAAAGAACTATCCATTCTAACAAGATCACCCATCTTATACTCAGTCAGATGCTCCCCAACCATCACACTCTGAAGAAAAGCAAATGATTAGGGCCTCCAGTAATTACTTCAAACAAAGGAGTTCTTTCCAAGGTCGCTTTTCTGTTGGTTTGTTTCTTTGACTCATTACTGAGCAAGGACTAAAGAAGGGGAAAAAATAGAAGAAAAAAAGAAACTGAACAATACTCCAACCTTGTCATCTCAAAGACAACCTTTTGTAATTCAGGGTCAAAGTATCTTTGAAATGACTGATCAGAGTATGAAAATCATTTCCCAAGTTCTTAATTCTATAATATGCAAACTTCTCTGTAACAAAGAACTTGGTGTTGCACAAATGCCTTGGGAAAACATTTTACTTCTCACGGGCCTTCAATGGAATCACAACTTATCAAGAAATACTGAGAATAAATAAAATGATAAAGTATATTCAAAGGCAAAAAAAAAATCTCCTTGACTTTCTAGGGACTGCACACCAAAGGTTACCTGGTCCCTTATTTCTTTTTTAAGAGTTTCATTTTTATGCATTAATGTGCTTTAAGCCACACTGGGACCAAATACTAAGTCATTTTTTTTCAGTTATCTAAACACACACACAAGGAATAAATCTGTTTACATAGCTTCAGATAACATAACTAATTTTGCCATTGCTGATAATGCCACTAAAAATGTATTGTTACTGTATTACACTGACCATTATGTTGTACGAAGCAGCTGTACAATCATAAGTGAGTGACAGTTAATCAACTAAATGCACGGATGACATTTACTTTCTATTACTTACTTATTACATTCGGTTGGAGGCACCTAGTCTTGCATTTATAGTTGAAAAAATATTTCAACTCTGTAGATTATATTGTGATATGCAATTACTCAGCCAGATACATTTTTAAAGAACGTTTAAGACAAAAAATACCTAGGAAAGACATTCATAATTTACCTGACAAAGATCAAGCAACAGACTTACATGTGAAATAAATAAGATATAACCAAAATCCACTTTAACAGCATATCGGAATTTTATGGGAGAATTTTTCTTATAACAGCTCTATCTATGAATGTAAATTTGATCAAAGAAAGCAAAAATTTATCATATTCAGTGTAAACAGTGGCTTCATACATTCAATAAAAAGATCAGTGAACACAAATTTGACCATGTTAAGCATTTTTATTACTGAAGTGAAATTTTCTACTGTATTTTTTCTAATGAATATAAAGTTACCCCTTCTGAGTGAACTATGTACAATTGGCATTCTCAATCCAGACAGCTGCAAGTTTTACAATTTACTTCAAAATAATTTGTACTTTACTGGTTCTTAACTGTTTTCTATCCTGACCCATCCAATAAATACAGGTCACACTAATTTTAGTGGCTTATTACCACAAAAATTCTCAAATGGACTATTCCCATTGGGGAAGGGAGGCCTCTATCAGAACTGGGAAAGGAGAGTATATTTTACAAAGCCTTCTAGGAGAATAAATCTAAATAATTCCCTCTCCTTCCAGTAATCTACATAATTGGCCAAGGAGGAGAGCAAAAGGCAGTGTTTAATTTTATCCCCCTGCACAGGTCCTTCCTAATTTAGGAGCAGAAAGGAGAGAGATGAGTTGGCACAGATCCCTCCAGGTTAAGCAAAGGATTAAGATACCTGAAATCAAGTGATAGAATGACCACATCCCTGCGGACACACAGGGCTAGGGCAGCAGAGCACAGTGGCTAACCAGGTGTAAGCCACACTACAGGGCAATCAGGTTCAAAGCTAAGCTCTCATACTAACCAGCTGTGTGAGGCTGGGCAAGGATATTAATCACTATGCCTCAGTTTCCTCTTTTGTAAAGTAAAAACAGTGCCTACCATGTGTTAGGTAGTATTCTAAGTGTTGGTTAAAGAAATAAACTAGAAACTAGAAATACATATACTAGAAACCAGAGAACTAAAAGTAATGGGCAAGTAATGAGAAGTTGAGTTAGGAGCTTCAGTAGAGGAACACAAAGAGTGTGGCTGAGAAGTGGGTGCCTTGGGGACAAGCACCAAGTGAGGGAACAGAAGAAAGAGAAGCCACTGTCAAGGCCATCCACAGCTACCAGATGTTTTGGGCTGGATTTCCAGCTGGAGCCAGGGGGTGAATCCTAGAATAGTGAGGGGCAACTGCTGCTAGCTGTCAGGAGCACAAACACAACAACAAGATTCACTAAGTGAAATGCTAAGGGAACTTAAACAGCTTTGTAAATAGCTAGACACAGCATTCATTAGCGAGTGCTTACATCACAGTTGCGTGTATTTAAGACAAATATACGTATACAAATAACTTTTAAAAATCAGAGATTTCTCAATGAATTGTCAATCATTTTTCTTTCCATGCTTAAAAATGCAATGTTTTGGTGAAAATTTATTGCAAAAGGACAGAGGGAATTGTAACAATGAGCATTTGACAGAACGCTATGTACTGATCAGCTGCTGGAGAAAGAAGTAAAGACGGACTCAGCCTGTTGGAAACTAAAGAAAAGGTAAAGTGGAGATGAAGAAGGTGTATCTTAGCTTTGTTTCTGCTTCTATATTCCTCAAACTACCAACCACATAGCCCTAGGCTTAAACCTCTGCTAGTGAAAATTCCTGAATTCTTTACAACGGCAGACATAATAAAAAGGTGAAATACTGGGATACTGCCAAATGAAGACCTGTTCTTCGCATACAGATGGAGAACCTACCTGGCAGAAGACGGAGTCCGCAGCAATCCAAGCTAAACCTACGAGTAAGGGACCACTCAGTTGCCTGCATTAACCCCAGAGAGGGCCTCTTTTGAAAAGATAAATAACAAGATATCAAAGCACTTTTCTGCTGACATGGAAAATCTCAGTATTTGTCTAAACATTATTTTAGTAAATGGTAGTTTTTGAAGCACAAAAAGTAAGCCTTCTAGAATGTTTTCTTGAAATTTTATAAAATACCCCTGTCCTCTATTTTCCTGGAGACTTTTGAATTATCAGGCCAAAAGAGTTTCCTCACTGCTGCAACTACCTTCTCGGCCCCAACTACACTCTAATAACTTTTCCAAAGGCTGGAGACTGTAGAAACAGTCTCTTCTTGGCCAAGAAAAATCCTGACCCATCTTTCAATCATTCGTAGAGGCACACCTCTGAGCAACTATCTGAAGTAAGCAAGTTATATCCTCAGCTACTTCAGAAATTAGTATTTATTAATTAAGAGAGACAAAGTTCAATCAACAAAATGTTGTCAAACAGCAGCACTCCATCTAGTTGACTAAGGGATAACAGAAACCTAGAAAGCAGCCACAGCCATCTGTCAGAGACATCTTAGCAGGAGCATGAGGGTGGTCTAAGTAGAAGAACTCTCCCTCTCAGAAGAGTTTACTAGGCATCCATCCCTTTCTACTCCCTCCTGGTCACCTCCTACCTTTTCCCAGGAATCTATCCTACATTCAATCCCACTATTAGCAGCTCCCCAATCCAACCATCAGTCACACACACACACACACACACACACACACTCTCTCTCTCTCTCTCTCTCTCTCTCTCTCTCTCTCCAACACAGGGTCTCAAGAAATTGGGGGAACTTAAAAGTAGTATATTCACTCAAAAAGGTATGGTCCACTATTATAGGATTACTTACCAAGAACTGCATAGAAGATTCAGTGGGTCAAATCCAGCAAGCAGGAGAGATGGCAACCATTCCTTATATTTTGTTTGTGCTTTAATTGCATGATTTATAAATTCAGATATATGGTTCCATGGTGCCAAAGGGCAACCTTTCTTCAAAAAGTAACGAAACACTGAAAACTTCTCGTACTTCAGGCAGTATGCCAAATGAATTTCATTTAGCTGGACTCCATATTTCAAAAGAATATTCACAATTCCAAAGAATTCACAGCTCCACCACAAAAAAAGAAAGAAAGAAAGTTAGATTTTTACATAAAAAATAAATGTTACAGATAATTAATAGTAATTACAGCTGGAAAACAAGAACAGCAGATGGGATAGTGGATGGTTTTTACATTTCTGGTGGATTTGAGAGTAGGGAACTAGGGGAAGGGGAGGGTTTTACTTTTTAATTTACATCTGCCTGCATGGTTTTTAATTTTCAACTATAAATAGGTATTCCCTTTAGAATTCTAAACATTCATCTTAATAACTTTAAAAATTATCACTGGCAAATAGACAACTCTTCTCAAAACTGATATTTATCCAGGAGATAAAAATTTTTTAAATTATATCCTATTTGCACAAATATGTTAACCATAGTATTATCTATAACAGACTTTTAAAAATTACCTCAATGTTCAACAATAGAGGAGCAGATAAGTACAAAATATGATATACTCATAAAAAATTGCAATTACGATGGTGGTTGTATGTTTAAGAAACTGTTTATGATATAATTTTAACTATAACAAAGCTCAGTAAACATATATGTTTACTATATAAACAACTGTGAAAGAATTTGGCAATAAAATTATTCTCCTTCTGAAACTGACATTAATGCTATTTTAAACAAAAAATATTTAATTACTCATAGTATTGTAGAATCTAGGTAAGAGACACTATAGGTAAATATAAAATGTTTAAATCATTGTCATGTGAGACCAACTATTTCTGGGGGCTTACTACAAAACTTGAAATCAAGCTTTTAAAGCAGATAAAACACTATATACATTAGTAAAATGTCATCTAATCCATGCATATTTTTATAAATCTATTTCATTTATTCTCCATTTGTGTTTCTTTTCTTTAGTTAAAAGATTAAGTAGTATTCTCTTTACTTTTAATTATCTGCACGGCAATTAGAAAAAAATCTATAATTCTAAAATTTCTTTATAAAAATTAATAACTTTGTTGTCCATTACTTGCTACTTGCTCCTGATAAGAAGTCCATCATGAGGGTCATTGTTTTTGAAAACAGCCCTGTATGTTTTTATTTTTTCCTCTGGCTGCTTTCAGACACAGGAAAGCTGAGAGAATTTATTGCCAGCAGTCCTGAACTGCAAGAAATGCTGAAGGATGTACTTCTGATTGATGGTTCCAAACAGTTATCACCAATTTATTCCAACCACTTTGCCCTAATTTAACTAGGTCCTCATTATTCTGCCTGCAATTATTACTTGCTGGTTCCACTACAGAACAGGCATGTGGACTGTTGAACATGTTTCAAAAAATATGCAGGTAAACTGTGAGAAAAGCTCAAGACACTGCCTCATTACAAATGCGATACAGAATTCTCAGGAAGCCTGGCAATATTCAAGGCATGCATGTTTCCATGTGCAATTCAAGGACTGGCTAAAGTCTTCCCTCTGAAACCATCTTTAGTGCTTTGAAACCATCAATAGCCTAACCATAGATACTTTAGCTCTTAATGATTTAGCTCTTAAAGAGGGCATACTTTTGCTATAGAATACAAAGGTAAATGTGAGTCATAAATATACCCTATTAGAGTCAGTCTACAGATTTTCCGTTTAGAAAAAAACTGCAAAACCAAGAGGCTTTCTTATTAAAATTTCAGCATAGCACCCAGACAAGTGGCTCATGCTAAGAAAATGTTAAGAACAAGGCCAAATGATAAACCATCCATCTCTAAAATGTGAGAGTGGAACACGTGCACATATAATTCCCCATAAAAACAAACTTTCGGTATTTCTTCTATACCAGGCACTGTGTTAAATCTTTTAATTGGAAGATGTGCCTTAATCCTCACAATGACGCTAAGAATAAGTTCTATTATTATGTCCATTCTAGATGCAAAAAATAAAGCTTAGTTACAGAGTCAGTCATTGGTACAACTGTGATAATACTGTCAAAACAAAATCTGACTGTGAACATGATATCTGAAATGACTCCCCTCTATTACAAAAACCGAACTCTTTCCTGAAGTAGTCGAATTGAGGAATACTTTAAGGCTAGACCTGTGTTTCCCAAAGTATGTTGCATGAAACATGAGTCCCTGAAAATGATCCATATGAAAAAGGCTCCAAAATGAAAATATTTGAGAAACCCTGTAGTACAGAGTGAGTCCAGAAAAGAAATATAGAATAAATATATTTTTAAACAGTATGCTAGTTACATTTTCAAATTATATGCTAAAATATTTTTCTTCAACCTCTAGATACCCAAAAAGAAATACCTTTAAAATTAAAGCAAAGAATCCAATTATTAACCTGAAATAAGCACAATAAAGAGTATAAAATGCCCCCACAAGTCTATATATAAACACAGGAACAATAGTATAATTATTATATACTTAAGTATATCTTATGTTTCCAAACTTTTCAAACTTTTGCAGACTCATTTCCCTCTTAGGAATTCACAAACCACCACCATAAGAAAAATTCTTAGAAGCCCTTCAAGAAAGAAATCTATTTAACATTACTTAAACCTATGCTTCTCAAACTTAATTAACTATTTTATCCCATGTAATATCTATTAACAATCTATAGAATTAGTATTCTACAAAAACACACTTTGGAAAACTCAGTTCTAAACTTCTTCCAATTACCATATTGCCTTGTGTTAGAAGAGACAAAAGCACACTCCTAAAAGGCTTGTAAAACTGCCTAGTGCTATATTATTAACCCATTTCCAACAAAATTACCTATTACATGGTGAATAATAAACATAAACTGTAGAATCATAAAACTTTGTCGGCATGCTCTGAGCTTCTAAGAAGGTGGGAGGTCTCAATATATGTGCAAGCTCTAGAATCATAAGCAACCTCAGTGCTCTATCTGACCTTGATCATTGCATGGTATTGAGCAACAGTAGACCCTAGGGCTTAGATAACTTTGGTTAAATAATAAATTGCATGAACAGATGAAAAAGAAAACAGTGCATCCTATTTAACCCTTGTAGAAAACATTTGGTCCTGCCCTAAATATTCATGAGACATATGATCCTTGATATCTGGCCCTGTATCAAAATGCTCAGAGATATTTGACCCACGCACACCCATCTACCACACCCCATGTGTCATTAACAGCTAGGCTACCAAAGTAAGAAAGGTTATTAATGACAATACAGCCACAACACAATTATTAGATCAATAAAACATGGTAGTATGAAGTCAAAAGTATAAATAAATATTATGGGCCATCTGAACCCATGGAGATTTTCTAATCGTGGACATTTTGGACAAGACCAAATTTCAAAGACCATTTGCCCTGGTCAGGTAGCTCAGTTGGTTAGTGTCATCCCAATACATCAAGGTTGCGGGTTCAGTTCCATAAGTGGAAGAACAAATCAATGTTTTGTTCTCTCTCTCTCTCTCTCTCTCACAAATGTGTGTGCGTGTGTGCATGTGTGTGTATCTCAATAAATTTTTTTTTTTAATTTCAAGGTCCTTTTGGCCTGTACTAAATGCCTCAGTGGACATGTTGGATGGGGCCAAGTGTCTGCTAAACTAGTTAATATAAATATCAAGAACTAAATGTGACACATTAAGAGACTGCATGTTATATAAACAGTGAAAATCATCAAATACTGAAAAAAATGAGAGGTTTAAAACCTAAAAAAGCAATGTCTAGACCTTATCTTTGGGCCTGTACATTTTCCATTATTCTGCTCTTTGAAGTTAAAAAATGTGCACAGACACAGTGCCCAGATAAAAAGCAGCACAGTAAAAGGAAATTGAACATGTTAACAAGATTTATTTTAAACAAACAGAAATGAGCAAACATCTTCAGCATTTTATGTTCAATTAGCCAACAAAATATCTAACCAACTTATTAGATGAATGATCAAAAGTCCATATAAGTTTTACTGAATGGCTTTCAGCCATCTGCAGAAAACAAAATAAAGACATTAGGTCTTGTCAGATGTACCTAAGTTGTGATTAAGATGACAAGAAAGGACACAAAAATTTCTACAAAACTAGTATGCTAACAAGGATCAGTATCAATTCCAAAGACAAAATCAGGTTAGGTAAGCCATGATCCCTTCCTACAGTCATATATAAAAGGTTAATATTTGTTCAAATTGTCCTGAACCTTCTCAACTTCCCTCTTCTTTCACATATTCCAGTTAAAGGAGTCTTTTTCTTATATTTTCTCATTTCAGTTACTCAACTGTGCCCTTGAAAGACTGGCTTTCATGTCACTGTAGCTGTTAACTTTTTAGCCCGGAGGGACAAAGACTGCTTTTGTGCAGTGGTGGAGGAGACACCCTTCCATCATGCCTTGGAGTGGTGAGAAGAGCTAAAGGTCACTGCTTCAATGGAAGCTCATCCTCTCAAAGGGATGCCCAGAAAAAATGTTTCAGAATGCTAATCCTGAGATAAAAAGTTTGATCAGCTGAATAAAACAATAAAGGGAAAGCATAAAACCCAAAGCCATTATTTACATTTATTATTTTCATTACCTTATGATATTAATTATAATATTTGTAAAAGCAGATAGAACTTCACTACAACAGAACAAGCCAACAGTGCAAGAAGGGCCACAAATACTAAGTATCTAGCCCGGCCGGGCATGGCTCAGCGGTTGAGCATCGACCTAGGATCCAGGCCATTGGGGTTCAATTCCCGGTCAGGGCACATGCCTGGGTTGTGGGCTTGATCAATGACTTTCTCATCATTGATGTTTCTATCTCTCCCTCTCCTTTCCTCTCTCTGAAATCAATAAAGATATATTTAAAAAAAAAAAAATACAAAGTATCTAGATCTCAGAGAAATACCCAAAAACACACAAATGAGAAAACAAATGTTTAACTCATTAACACCTAAAGTCAATAAATTAAAAATAAATAAATAAATAAATAAATAAATAAATAAATAAATAAATAAATAAATAAATAAAATATATATTGCCCTGGTCAGTGTGGCTTAGTTGGTTGGGCATAGTCCCATGCAACAAAATGTAGGTTCGATTCCTGGTCAGGGCCACATGCCCAGCTTGCAGCTCCATCCCCAGTAGGAGGCATGCAGGAGGCAGCAGATGAGTGTTTTGCTCTCACATGTGTAACTTTCATGATTTCATAGAAGTTTTTTTCAAATTTTGTTTTTCTAATCACTTCAGTTTACCTTCAGTGAAGCTGCATTCATCACTTTAGTTGTTTCTGTTTCTTTCTCCATTCATATCTAACACCTTTATATTTTATTATTAGGTCAATTGCACTGAACTTAGATCAGAACATAATGATTTTGGATAGTTTGTATGTGTGTGTCCAATATAATGATAGTGTTTTTTTGATCTTCATCTTATCTTTTGGAGGAATGATTTTTTTCAATCTTTCTAGTCACAGCAGCTAAGCTCATGCCTCATTATCTTATTCAAGTTTAATGTATAACATATAACATAGTGCTCCTGCTAACCCTGAAACACCTTAAAATTAATGTTTTTCTGGCCTGAGGAATCAGGTAGATATAACCATGTGGGACAGAGAATGTGAAGGGAATCCTGGAAAAAAAAAGGACTTCTATGAAATCAAGAAAGTTACACATAGAGATTTCAGGTACTCAGATTAACCAAAATATAGTCTGTATTTTTTATGCAGACTATAAAATATACCTGGAAGCTTAAATTCAGAATAAAATGAACCATTTTACAAAGCAAATTGTTAAGAGATGGTAGAGACTAAAAAAGCTTAGTAAATAAGTTCCTAATATTTAAATTAAATTGTGGATAACAATCCATAAGAGTGAATTTAGGGCAGCCAATGAAATTTGAGGTATGACTGTAACCTCTGTTGCATCATTAAAAACAATGGCATCTATCTGGACAACTTATCTCACTGTTGGATGAACCACAGATATTACTTAACATGGCTTTTCTTACACATAGCCTTATTCTTACTGTGTATTTTTTTAATATGTTTTTATTTATTTTAGAGAGAGAATAAGGGGGTGAGAGAGAGAGAGATAGAAACAATGATGAGAGAGAAACATGAATCGGCTGCCTCCTGCACACCCTCTACTGGGGATCAAGTCCACAACCCAGACATGTGCCCTTATCAGGAATCGAACCAGTTACCTCTTGTGGTGTATGGGTCACGCACAACCACTGAGCAACACCACCCAGGCTTTACTGTATATTTTAAAACTTTAGGAGTCTTATGAATCTCAGAGGGAAGGTGGGGGGGGGGGTTTAACATAAGAATTTATGTGCATATATACATATCCCATGGACACAGACAATAGTGGGGTGAAGGC